AATCAATTAAAGGTCGCGACATGTCTTTTTAGGTCAGAAAGTACGGTTTTGTAGACTATTGTCAGACTTGTATTGTCGGGATTTTTAATTTTTTCTTATTTATTTAAGTTTTGACCATCACTATTTACACAATTTCAAAATATGTAGTATTTACCTTCTAAAACTAAATCTATTTTTAAATAAACTGACAGCTCATTAGGCATCCTAATGTGTATGTAAATATGTTTTTATAAACAAAATCATACATATGCATATGCTTGATGGCTAATGGCAACTCGAAAACCACAAAACTGCATTTCAGCTGCGGTCTAACCAGAGTTCTAGTTCAATGCCGCCACAGCAGCGCTATGATTTTGCCTTTAAATATTCCACACCCATGTAAGATAAATGTGAATATGAGAATTTGTGTGTGCGGATGTGCGGGTGTTACGCCCTACAAAACCGCTGTGATGACCTTTAAATGCAAACTGTATAGCATTGTTATGTAATAAGCAAACGAGAGGTTATATCTACAAAACTACCGTTTTTCGAAATTCACAAGTAAACTATGTACAAATAAGAATTGTATGTAGTATGGACTTTTCTTTCTTTTACTGTTAATATGCCCTTAATGAAAGAGTCGGATTCGCTAATTAGTTTATTGAAATTATTAAATTAAATCTAAAAGGAATAAAAGCAATAAAAATGGCTAAACGGAATAAATAGATAATTGAATTTGGATGCATCCCATAAAGGCATAGGGTGCGTTCTTTTTTTGTTTTTGCTTAAATACATTTGACTATTACCAGAAGAGGAAAATTATTACTGTTACAGCTTGAAGTCATATTTAGTTGCATCAGCGCTAGTTACACATGTTTACACATACAATGTAATCAGAGAAAATGTAATCAAAGAAAATTGAGGCCTAACGACTCGACTCGATCAACAACCGCAGCGATTGTCCAAAGAACACAAAGCATTGAAATGCAATGCAATTGGAATAAATATATAAACAACAATGTAAATGTTTGAGTAGGCATTATTCAGGCAGCAACAGGATTTACATACATACATATCGTCGTTTAAAGTACAAAACCGCGTATCGACATTCTGCAAAACCGCATACTTAACTGGCATTTGCTGCCAAAAATTAGATTTGCTCACACAAGCTTCCTTATCCATTCGTCCTGAAATGTACTAGCCAGAAATGCGATTACTTTATAAAAAAGAGAACCATTTTGAAATATGAGTGTTTTTACTCTCTAGAAAACAATTTATGCAACCTCACATACGCTATTTTGCATTTTGTTGATACGCGGTTTTGAACTTTAAACGACGAGATATTTATGCAAATATACATAAATATAAGGAGGATTTATGTTTATTATTGGGGTTGATGACTAAAAGCGTTTTCTGCTCTCAAAAAAAGTTCTGCCCTTTTATAATGAAACAAAAAATATACTACTCCATCTCAAATTATTTATAGAACTTAATAAAGTTGAATTGTTCACTTGGCCTGTAAGTCTTTAATAATTTTAAAGCAAAACATTTATTTCTGATACGGAAAATAATTGTATTTTTACAAGCGTAAATTAAAAATCAACACTCACCCTCACGTTTATTTGAGGGCAGAAAAGGCAGCACTTTTGCCGGATCAGAGCGCAACCTACTGAGAAAAGATCACGACGCCTTGAGAAAGGGCTGAGAAAAGAAAATGAAAATGTGTCAGCGATAATACAAGGCAGAATAAGTGCAGCCTTTTTCGAGAGCAGAATACGCTATAAGCGACAGAGCTAAGTCAATAATATTTCGCAACATAGCGTATATAGTTTGGGATTAAATACATTGTATATGCAATTATCGTGTTTTTATAAACATTAGAAGTCTTCACACCGAAGCTTGGTACTGGGTAACTCGGTGTTCGGTAATTTTTCCCCATGTGTTTTGTTTGTGTAACACTATTTTACACAAACAAAATACTTTACAAAAAAGAACCGAACACCCGAGTTACCTAGTACCCAGTTCGGTGTGAAGACCCATATTGTTATGCAAGTAGGTAGATATATTGTACATATGTATGTATAAATCAGGGGTGGTGCGAATGTGAAATTTTAGACATCCACAGATGCGGATGCGAATGCGGATGTAAAATATTTCACGAAATGCCTATTTAAGGCAAGAAAATTTTAGGTATTTATATATTTTGGTAAAGAAAAATATTAAAAAGTTAGTAATTTTTAATAACTTTTATTTTATTTAGTATTTGAATTTAAAAATTGGAACATCATAATTAGAAATTTTTGACATTAAATTGGCGGCGTGCGTGGGTCGTCCAGCCCTTTCTTATAAACATATCTGTGGACATTTGGCAAAACAGTTTAAGTCTATCTTTCATGGACAACGAAAATAGCATATGAAGGCAAAGCTATTTTACCGTCAGAGCAATTATTTTTATTTAAATGAAAACATGCACTTGTAGCAAACAGAAAGATTTTTAACGGTTGTGAATAGTGATAAAACAATTTAACATTTCTTTCGAATTGCAACATTTTTCTCCTCGACGGTAAAATATGTTTTGTCGACATATGCTATTTTATGTGTCCATGAAAGCCAGACTTAAGTTGTTTTGTCAAATATCCACAGATACGTACATATGGTACATACATACTATCATTATTGTTTCAAATTTTTTATATTCACCATAGCATTGATATAACGAAACCTGGACATACGGAGTGGTGGATCGCAACTACAGTATCGGTCATATCTATAGCACGCCATTTCAAAGTGATATTGTGTGCAACTTATGTTTATTTATTTATTTTTGAGAATTTTCAATTAAAATACAGTTCTTTCTCTACCAAACCCCATATAAATCCAAGTTTAACAATTTGTAGAAAACTTTAAAAAAGTGCAACAAATTTTCACCTAAATTTCAAACTTTTTTCTCAGAAGTTTCCTATTACAATTTACGCAAATATAAACCTAAGTTTACATTATTTAGAATTAGAAATTAATTTCAATATACATATTTAGTTTATAAACCTTAAAAAAACTTTAAATGTACATAAAGCAACTTTAAAAGAACTCCTCCAAACGCTGTTCCGAATGCCTTCTATGTGGAGCAAAAGCAGAAATGCATCAATTTGTCCCACTTCATAACGCAAAGAAAAGTAAAAGAAATCTATACAACAAATTATCTACTGGGTAAGTACATATATATGTATGCATACACAAAATTGTAGACAAAGCTTTGAGAAAAGTGAACAGCAAATGCATAACTGGAAATTTTTGTTTTCAAACCCCTAAAACTGAATTGATAAAAATAGAAATCGGCAATAAATAACACTTTGTTTTTTTTTTTCCTGATAACAAGTTTTAACGAGTGTGAAGTGTAAGACCCTTAAGGTTAACAGTTTGAAAAACAAGTAATTTTTAAGCAAAAAAAAAACCAACTCTAATTCTCATAAAAAAATTTAAGAGTATCGCTAATTTCTTCACGATCCAAAGATGAGATCTAAACCAAATTAGTATGGGACCACCTCCGAGGTACCATCTTTAATCTAGGAAACATTCAGTTTCGACGGGGTCGGACCAATGGGAGAGGAGTTTGGGGTACTGTTTGCATATTTATACGACGATTTTAGGTTGCTGTGCCCAAAACGCGCAATTCGAATCAAAAAACTTTTACACACACTTGTAGACAACTTCACGCCTAATTACAAAAATAAAATTTACTATATCTGTGAACTAATTTATTAATAATGTCGGTTCGAAATGTGGTATTTTTTGCAAATTTCCGTGCTGAGCTGTCAAACAAAAAATATCCACGAAATATCTCTGCAAAAGGTGTTCAGCCCCTCTTCTTCGACAACACAGAAATGAGAATTGTATTTAGTTAGTGAGGGTTATAATTCTTTCGCAAAAAATCTTAATTTTCCCTATTTTCAACCAGCTCCCTAACCCTCCGCCCTTTACCACAAAACCGTTGTACAAATAAGCAAACATTTCCCGGGGTTTGTGTTGAGTATTCACTCCTGCCTGGTTATTTTGCTAATATGTAGACAGATATGTATATGGTTATATTTTGAAATTCGCAACATTAAAATACCATAGGGCTGTTCAGGATTTTGTGGAATTGGTCTTGGATTTGTAGTTGGAATTGCATTTGTAAAATTTTTCGCTTGCTGCCATGGCAACCGTGTGCATGTTATTTTTATAAATTTACAACGAATGTGTAAATCCAAGAGCATATGCACAAGATCCTAAATAGCCCTAATTATAATTAGGGAAGTGTGTATACCATTTATTTTAAAAGCGCAAGTTATTTTAAACGTTAAAAATGATATATGTAAATACTTCTTGTTTTTTTCATTGTCAAGATTGCAAGATGAATTGTATATACATACTTCATATAAAATGCTTCATTATTGAAAAAGCAATTTGTACATACCGTTTTATGTACTATTAATTATATACGTATGTACTTTAAAGAAAAAAATATTTCCCCATAAATCAACCAGCAATTCGCTGGTATCGATAATAGCAGCTACGTTTCATGCATCAGTGGAGGCGGTGCAACCAAGCGACATTCCCAATCGCCGCTATCGCCACTGATTGAAAGCAGGCAGACGCAAACCCTTTATTTTGTCCCTGCATGACTAATTAAAAACACGATAGTAAATGGCACAATAAACACCGCAAATAAATATATAAGTCGTCATACAAAAACCAAAATAGAAGAATAATGGAATAACAAAAAAGCCCATGTAGAGGATTTGTTGAAAATCTGAAAACGGCGAATAACCATACAATAGCAGCTGTGCTAATAGCGCACAAACAACAGAGCAATAATCGAATTATACATATGTACTGTTGCAATTTGCGCAATAAGTTGAAGCTTAATTTAGGTGTAGGATTTTACTAGAAATTAAGCATACCTCATAGATTACTGTTGGAAGTATATATGTGTATATGTAAGTATACGCAATAACTTTAGATTCTAATTACAAATTACTCACCGCAAATTATAGCGCTGCAAACGCTCAGTATTAAAGCCACCGTCACAAATTTATTATGAAACATTTTTACTTCTAGTACTTGTAGTTGCACAGATTCTGCTCCTTATAAATACTGATAAAGGTTAGCTTTGTTGGAAACACCGCAATTTGCAGAAGGTAGCTTCTACTTCGCTAGAACGATTTTCCTAGCCTTCCACAGATTTGCCTGGCTTGTTCGAACGCAAAATTCCAGCAATTTTCATCTAGCTCAACAAAATACCATTGGCGTTTGTTTTTGTATACAATAAATTTGTCTACTAAATTCGTTTGCTTTATTAGTGTCTTTTCAATAGCAAAAAATAAATTTATTATTTCTACTTCAGTTTCTAGGCCCCTCAAAATTTTCTACGTCTTTTGTTCTTGCTGCTTTTTCACGCACTTGAGTTGTGCAAAATGCAAAAACAACAATTGACGAATGAAACGAATGATTCAGCTGATTCAGCGAGTGTGCGCCCTCTGTAGGTGAAATAAGTGTCATCTAACGGGTGATTTTTTTGAGGTTAGGATTTTCATGCATTAGTATTTGACAGATCACGTGGGATTTCAGACATGGTGTCAAAGAGAAAGATGCTCAGTATGCTTTGACATTTCATCATGAATAGACTTACTAACGAGCAACGCTTGCAAATCATTGAATTTTATTACCAAAATCAGTGTTCGGTTCGAAATGTGTTTCGCGCTTTACGTCCGATTTATGGTCTACATAATCGACCAAGTGAGCAAACAATTAATGCGATTGTGACCAAGTTTCGCACTCAGTTTACTTTATTGGACATTAAACCAACCACACGAATGCGTACAGTGCGTACAGAAGAGAATATTGCGTCTGTTTCTGATCTTGGTGTAAAACCGTATAAAATACAGCTCGTGCAAGAACTGAAGCCGAACGATCTGCCACAACGTCGAATTTTCAGTGAATGGGCCCTAGAAAAGTTGGCAGAAAATCCGCTTTTTTATCGACAAATTTTGTTCAGCGATGAGGCTCATTTCTGGTTGAATGGCTTCGTAAATAAGCAAAATTGCCGCATTTGGAGTGAAGAGCAACCAGAAGCCGTTCAAGAACTGCCCATGCATCCCGAAAAATGCACTGTTTGGTGTGGTTTGTACGCTGGTGGAATCATTGGACCGTATTTTTTCAAAGATGCTGTTGGACGCAACGTTACGGTGAATGGCGATCGCTATCGTTCGATGCTAACAAACTTTTTGTTGCCAAAAATGGAAGAACTGAACTTGGTTGACATGTGGTTTCAACAAGATGGCGCTACATGCCACACAGCTCGCGATTCTATGGCCATTTTGAGGGAAAACTTCGGAGAACAATTCATCTCAAGAAATGGACCGGTAAGTTGGCCACCAAGATCATGCGATTTGACGCCTTTAGACTATTTTTTGTGGGGCTACGTCAAGTCTAAAGTCTACAGAAATAAGCCAGCAACTATTCCAGCTTTGGAAGACAACATTTCCGAAGAAATTCGGGCTATTCCGGCCGAAATGCTCGAAAAAGTTGCCCAAAATTGGACTTTCCGAATGGACCACCTAAGACGCAGCCGCGGTCAACATTTAAATGAAATTATCTTCAAAAAGTAAATGTCATGGACCAATCTAACGTTTCAAATAAAGAACCGATGAGATTTTGCAAATTTTATGCGTTTTTTTAAAAAAAAAAAGTTATCAAGCTCTTAAAAAATCACCATTTATAAGGTCTAATGTAGCGAACACACTCCATAATAAATTGTTAGCTGTGTTCCTATTTGCCAGATCTGTAAAATTGTGAATTGTGCGTTCCTTATCTCCCAGAAATAGTCAGAAAATGTCCGAAGTAGTCAGATTTAGTCCAAAAAGCGTCCCTTAACTCGGAAATTACAGCTAAAATGAGAGAGCAACACCCAGTGAGAGTGACTCTCATCAGTCCGAAGTAGTCAGATTTAGCGCATTTTGCTCACGCTCTGGCATTTTGACACTTTAAAGATTTTAGTCCAAAAAGATAAGGAATGAACCTAATTAAAAATTTTAATCGTGAAATATTTACAAGTAGGATTTCATTCATTTTCCTTTGGTCTGGTAGTGTGGCTTATATTTTTTTCAATCTACAATCATTCAAAAAAAATGGATTTCACACAGTAAGGTAGTAAATACCTGAATGAAAAACTGAGAATGCTGAAGTAAACAGAATTCAATACTGAATTAGCTTCCAGATGAATGAACACTTTGCTATGTGTGCATTCTCTAATTCAGTTCCAATCAAATTTTATACACTAAGAAAAATATAAGATGATGGAATAATGAGGTGTATGAACTTTAAAACGATATTGCCACGCGGGCTAAGCCATGTCCTACGAATGAATGGTTGTGTTTGGACTCCTCCACGCATGAAACGCAGCTTGATTCACATGAACATATTGTACAAATTTATAGTTTTGGTTGTTTAAAAACTGAGTGCAAAATGTTCCAAGACAATTAGTCTCTACAATTTTTTTCTTTTAAAGATTGGAAAATCTGCAGAACAGGAAATAATCAAGCATAACAACCATCAAACGATAGCAGCCCTTATCATTCAGTCCATGGTTTATCCACATACATATAATGTCCTTTTTTAGAATATTATGATCAGTTTTTATTTGTAAAGAACGATATTCTCCTTTCCCAATACCAGGCGCTCATGCACATGAAGTAACAAGTTTTCTATTTCTACGTACAAAATTGTTTGTATAAATTTTTAAATTTCCAAAATTCTACTTTGTACAGTTCAAAGGCTTCTACAAAAAAAAAAAAATATTTAAAAGTTCTACAAACAAATTTATACATATAGAAAGCTTGCTACTTCATAGGTATGAGCGCCTGGTATTGAGAAATAAAAATATCTCTTTGTACAAATAAAAATTTAGTTCGTTAAATAAAATTGACCGCAAGTTTCCTTCAAAAACATGCAGTTGGTTTTAAACAGCATTAACAGAATATCCAAAGCTGGTACGAACCTCTGGTCTTAGGTAATGCTTTACCAAATTGTAGCAGTAGTAGAAAAGCAGAAGTAAAACGACTATTTTCTCCTATAAATATTTTCTTCAAGGCATATTTTTTCAGTGTAGTACTGAATGATCAAAACTGTTTGCATCCAACCAAAATTTACAATCACGATGCTTGCGAATACTTTTGTTACATTTACATTCTATACTGAATGGAACTCAGCCATTCAACAACACATTACGTTTGTTTTTGTTTCAAAATAATTTAAGCCACTCAGGAATGAGGTTTTTTTTTATACAGCCAAACAATCAAAATTTTGAAACGAGTGCCAAGTGAATGCAGATCCTACTGATTCAATCATTTTACAGCTCTGCTATTTGCGTAATAAGATTAGCAAAGTCGCCAAAGGCTATTCATGTTAATGTATTGTGGAGCGATTTTCTGTCATTCCTTGTCAAATTTGGTTTGGAGACAAACCCGTTTCCGTTTTTCGAATAAAAAATGATGCTGAAGTTGACACAAGGCCAACACCGGCTTGGCGTTAAACCAAATTTGACAAGGGATGACGGAAAATCGTTCCACAGTACATCCTTATCATACCCTGTCGGAAACACCAACAATGAAACGGGCTATTCATGTTGTTCCAAATTTGATACTCCATTTTTAAAAAATTTTAGGGCATTTTCGTTACATATTACAGGTTAATGTTATTTCCATACACTTTGAGAATATGTGAATGAACTTGTAGAATTTTATTACAACTTGACTTTTTTTTTTTTAATTAAAAAGTTTCCCTTGCGACATTGTCTATTTCTATTAAGTTTAGAAAATAGCATCTGACTACTCCACCTACATACGTCTAGTTGATCGTTAAAATATTACTTGGGAATCCAATTAAATATTGCGTTCCAGGGGCAAATGGACAACCTCGAGATAAGTTAATGCCAAAAAACTTCAAAAATTTAATTCCTTTACGAATTAGCCAAAAAGGTGGGGCAATTTTATTGTAAATTAAAACTAGTTTTGTAAGTTTTCCAAGACGTACATTTCCATGATGCAATGCCCAAATTAAGAGTACCGCGGAACGCCTGAAAAGCTTGTTGTGCAGTTGTACTCGTAACTTTCCTGAAAAAATCACACAGCCTAAAAATGGTTTTATAAATTTATATAAGAGATAACATACATAAACCCATTTTCGCGATTATTTCTGATCGGAACACTATTCTTACCTATGCGTACTTAGATTTTCATATAACAATAAATCATCACTATGAACGTTTTAAGAACATTTCGCCATGCGCCCAAATAAAAATTAATATGCAACTATTAAAGCTAAATATCTATATATTTATGGATGAAAAACTCGTCCTCGTTGCAGAAATTTCAATTTATATAAAGTTTGTATTGTGACGCTCAGCCATCTTTTCAACTGTGGCATGTGGGTGATTCTGGAATTCGAAGAGTTCCGGATTGCCGAGTATGTCCGTAAAGTCAATCATTTCATCTCTGGCCAGCAGAACGTCGCGCATCATATTGCTTTGTATTAGAAAATAACGCATTACCCACACATGTGACAAATATTTTATAAGCAGTGACCACTCACCTGGAATTCATGAAAGGTAGGCGACCAACTTGGTTGGCGGCATGCAATTCCATAGCCATTTTTAGCGGTACTCCAAGACCTTCCCTATTGCGA